AGCAGCAGGAGCAGCAGCAGGAGTAGTAGTAGTAGTAGTCGTCGTCGTCGTCGTAGTAGTAGTAGTAGTAGTAGTAGTAATGGTATGTAGTGGTGGTAGCAGCAGTGGTAGCTATACTGGTACTCGAAATCTTGGTAGAAGCTTTTCAGTGGTAGCCGCTGGCAGCCGTAGTGGGAACTGGTGGCGGTAGCGGTAGCAGGGTCAAAGGTAGCGGTAGTTGTAGTTCTAGTGGAGGAGAAGGGCGGCAGCAGCCGTCACTGTCTTCTTCGTCATCGAAGTCGTAGTATGGGATGGGCCGGGGGGGCGGGTGTCAACTTCGCATATATCCGACAATTTTCGCGTAGGCCAGAAGTGCCACAGTTGGGAAGTTTTGGGTGCGTTTGCTTGAGCTACCCCTCCAATATATCTTCGGAAACCCCGTGCCTGACTCAGATCGTCGGGAAAGGTTATGACGAAATCCAAGGAGAACCCGACACATTGACCCAACTTTTTGCACTCCCATCTCCGGATTGCATCGTGCCGGTCAGCACTCAGGTACAAGCTTGGGAACAGTATCGTGGTGTCCATGAGAGCCTTGTCAGGTTTATCTGAAGCCGGCAGTTCCCACAAGGGTTTGACGCCTCAAGGCTCAGGAGTCTCTTGCGGATGATGCTTACAAATGGGAATATCGAGTCGTGTTGTAGCATCTCACGAAGAGGCTTGAGCGCGATTTGCTGGCTTCAGATTGTCTCGGTTGCCCCGGGAGACAAGACACAAGTACAGCAACACCGAAGCTGAAGTTGATCTATACCTCAAGATACTTGAAGCTGTAGATTCTCCGGGTTCAAATTTTCGATGAGGTCTGAGAGAGGCTTTTGTGGCCTGCGCCAAGGAAACATGGCCCAGTACAACACGAACGTTCCCAGCTTCTACAGGGTAGAGGTGCGCAGCCACGGGTTGGGCTGCTGTGCAAAGTCACTGGTCAGAGTAGAGATGCGAACGTCAGCCGCAGGCACGGTCCAAATCCGAACTGGGCGAGGGGGAGAGAGTGGGGGAGAAATCCCCAACCCCCTAGCCCTAGCGACAGAAAAGGCAGAGAGAGTGTGTCTTATTCAGAGCTGTCCTTGCTTCTCACGCTTCCCTACCAAGCCCTTCAACCGGAGCACATCTTTCGGTGCGTGGAGCTTCGCGTGCTCCCCGGACCCTGTGAGTGAAGTGAAGTGAGAAGTAAGTGTAAAAGGGTGTGTGTGTGTGTGGGTATGCGTGTGCATGCGTGTTATATTTGGATGTGACAGCATGAAGGCTCATGGTCTTGCTTTTCTCCGAACCCGCAGATGCATCCAGATGTGTCATCCCGAACCAAGCGATGAGCTTCGATTCCCCTCATTCCGGCAATTTCAATGAGTAAGTGAGGCTTTGGGCTTCGGGCTTAAGGATGTTGTCGTTGCGAACTTATGCCTGGCGCTGCATTCTCCGGGCCTTTGGGGTTGGGGTCGGCTGCTGACACAGGAGCGAGACATCGTGATGCCTGCCGAGTCCCGACTACAGGTGGTCTGGGTTTTTGGATGGTCCAGTGACCATGCTGTACGATCACGATCTATAGAAAGAGGAGCATTGATTGGATACCATACCCGAGCACTGCATGACGACTCTGGCAGCTTCAGGCTTTGCAATTTCAGAGCTGAGGACGTCCACGAGTTGCCAACAGAATGTAGACAGTAGCAGCAGTTTCGCCGGTGCAGCAACTATGAGGATTTCTTCTAAGACCCTAAAAGGTGGACCTAGTTCGCACTGAACTATGCGGAGCCTTGCCGGCCTTGTGCGAGTGTGAGAGTCGAAAAGGTGGACCTCTTCGACTTCCAAGATACATTGGGCGAGGCCCGCAGACAACTGAAATGGCTTCACTGAGAGCGGGTCGAAGTGAAAGGGGGATGACGATGCCTGGCAAGGTATGGAGTACGCCTGGGGTTCGAACAGGACACAGCCCATCGCCTTTCGTAATATTTTTGGTCATCTCTAAGCTTGAGGTGTTGTGCTTGGCGCGCGCCTCATTCCGGTTCCAGTGTTGAGTCTGATCGACAGGAGGGTAGTTCGGCTACACGGCTGGTAATTATCCTCACCCCTCCCCTGACTGCCTTTATGGCCGACACAACGAAAACTTAATATCTTTGTTCGTTCTTGGATGTAAGCTTCTGCCAAACACCCAGCACCCTGCACAGCTCAACGAATCCGTGGGCTGCAGCTGCACACTTTGGTGAGGCCATCAATGGCGAAAAGTTGATCGGCAGCACCGTGATCGACTTGGAGGACCCTGAATCAGCAGCGAGCGCGAGGGTAGCCAGTAACCCCGCAGTAACTTCGAAGCGGACGCAGCAACCCTGCGCTTGTTTCGGCATGAGGCCAGAAGGTCTGGAAGAGAAGCAGGGCGCCACACGTTTGGATTGCTCACTTTCTTCGCCTTTTCATTATTGCACAAACCGAAGCACGCGGTTCTGAGTCCAGGAAGAGAATCTTATCATGAAGCATGGTCCCATATTATGTGTTTGTATTCCATGCGGCTCAGATTCGGCTTTCGAACACGATTGTATCCTTTGCGGCATATCCTCGAGCATAGAGAGGAAGATAACGTGCAATGATGGTGGTGATGAAGACTGACTAGTTATAACAGGACCGCTGGCACTCTGCAGCCTGGAAAGACTGCATGGACCGTCGCCAGCAGGTGCCCACCGAGAATCGCGGGCTTCTTTGCACGTGCATTTTATGGTCTGAGTTTGGGTGATGGGGCACTTTTGATTGTGGGCTTGTGGAGTAGGGCTTTCATTTCGGGGACTTGGGGGCTCAAGCACTGTCGAGGGAATTGTTTCTGTTCATTCATGCTTTACAGTGCCCGAGGATTCAAGGCATTCAGGGTGGCTTGATTGAAGTTTGCTACTTCGTGCCCCAGCTGTTTCACGATGCTCTAATCTTTCTGTATCTTGCGGTTGAAGTCTCCAGCCATCGTGGCTCCTGCTTGTGTTCCTCAGCGCCTTCCCTGCATGAGCAAGATCCTTTTTCATGCATGTCTGGATCCAAGGCTTATCAACCCTCAGCTTTCGGGA